GTGTTTACCCATGTTACTCTTTAAGACTACCAGGATATTTGCATCTTCAATGCTCATCCTCTGTAAATCCAATGAGCAGACTGTTTACACGTGAAGATATAATAAGCTCTTTAATTTTCCTACTAAACATATCTCTGGAAACTAGACTCTTAGGGCATGTGTATTTTGAAACCTGAGAATCTGCTGCAGTTTACCAGCAAAGCAGAAATAAATCCTGTGGAATATACACATGTCAGGAATGTACATAACAAATCTCAATCTGAAAGGAAAATATTTGTTCTGGTGAACAGCACACACTTGAGTGGCACGAGTTCAGCAGCGATGGAAGTTGCCTTTTTTGGGTGGTACTGAAAACACCTTTTGACTGTTCTTTCATTTCCTTATGTCAAATTCAGGCTGCACAATCTATCTTTGCTTACTGCCAGTATTTTGTTCAGTGCATTAAAATGCACTCATTTGTTGTAATTCTTTAGCCCAATGAAGTGTTAATGTCACACTTGGGTATTTGTGATGAAAAGAAGCAAAAGGAAGAAGTTTAACTGATACAAATGAGCAATAAAAGCTGCTGGAGGTCTTTGCTGAAGACACAGATTGCTTTCAAAATCCTTGCTTTTCACCTACTTATTACACTCAATTCACTCAATTACATCTATTAGACAAAGCACAACCACCCCTGTAAAATTCGATGAATAGTGGTGGCAGATACATAGAGCCTTAATGGACAGGATAAACTTGGCATGCTAAGATAAAACTTTTAGAAGAAAAATTTTACCCATGTTGACTTTGATATTTTTATAAAACTGTTAAAAGAACTGTCAGTCAGGACATAACTGATCCTTAGGCAAGGATCCATTAAGAATAAAATGCACCTAACTGGAGCAGAAATGACAGCCTGAGCCCTTGTACGCCCCTTTTTGGATATAATTTTAAATACTGAAGACACAAGCTGTGATTTTAATGACTCTCTTAGGTTTGAAGATTTTTGGGGGGGGGGGGGGGGGGCATCCCAGGGGATTCTAGGAAATCCTGCACAGTTACTACTGGATTCATCTGGTATCAACAGCATACCTGAAAATTAGACCTGGAGCTGAAGAAATGTGACACTTTCACTGAGACCGGAGATCTCCCTGCACCGAGTGTGCCATGCCTGATACTCCACGAAGTTTGCTTTATTATCTCATTTTTTGCAACATTATTGTGCATTGAAGAGCTCTGCCCTTCAAGACAGAGAGAGGCTCTCTGTGAGTCGCAGAGGAGTGCACACACAGACCTGTCAGATACATCGGGCTGACAGGTGGCAGAAGCTGTGGGAATCAGCAAATATAAGAAGTACAATAACACATACAACAAACAGGGAGAACCCTCTTGCTGAGCCTAGGCAAACACAAGATTTGAACTCAGTATTTCTGAGCACCTGATCCACACTGTCTTGCTATCCCTGATATTGGTGTCAGTGTTTTGGTCAGTATTTCTGTAGAGGGAAAAGCAAAATATGATCATCAGAAAACACACAGAAATGTTCCATACAAGTATACACTGAAAGAGTGGAAAGCAAGAAATGGCTAAAGGTAAGAAACAGACAGATTTCTGATTATTCCATTAAAATAATGGCAAATTATAAATCCAAACAATTATCAGTATAATGATTATGAGAAAAAAATAAATTAAAGATACCAACAGCAATCCTATTTCATTTCTAGAAATTTATTCTGGAAATAGAAAATTTACCCAGGGTTACCACTGGGAATCAAAAGAAATATTTGAGGTACAATAAAGCTCAGCAATTTTTTCCTAACCACAAATCAAGTCCCAGGGTAACTTTTGCAAAGCAGTATATTCCTCAACCTATTATTTTTCATTCTGCCTAATTTTCTGGATAAGACTAAAATACCCTGATTAAAGCTGTACTTGTGTATTTCCAGCTCAGCTGGAAATAGAGATCACGGGGAACGTGCTGTTGTCCAATTTGCAGTTCAGTGTCAGGAGGTTTAGGTAAGAGGAAAGAGCATCAAAACTACAGCATTTACTCTATTGAACAACTTGCCAATGTCAATCATGATTATTAAATTCAGTCAAATATCCTAATCCAATTATTAAAAATTAGTGATTTGAATTCTGCTAGTAAGTCTGATTATATTACTTCTCATTATAGATGCCAAATGTATCAATTATGCCTAAATATTGCCCTATGACATTGACAGGAATGAGGCTTTTTTTTTAAGTACCTATATACAGTAAAATACCATAGATATTGGAATGTGTGTGCAAACTATGGAGACTAATGCAGTTATTAAAAATTAGTGATTTGAATTCTGCTAGTAAGTCTGATTATATTACTTCTCATTATAGATGCCAAATGTATCAATTATGCCTAAATATTGCCCTATGACATTGACTGGAATGAGGCTTTTTTTTAAAGTACCTATATACAGTAAAAGACCACAGCTATTGGAATGTGTGTGCAAACTATAGACAAAAAAAAAGATATATAAAAGATGTATCAGTTCCCCTGTAGTGGAGAAGCACAGGAAGGTTGCAACACTCCTGCAATAAAGAAAAAAAACACCTTTCTTTTTAATTCAAGTTCTAGGACAGAAAACAGAGTATAGATCCAGAGAGCTGTGAATTAGGACAAACACAAGGCTAAAAATGATGCCTAAAACTTCAGCAAATTTGTCAAGTGCTTTGATTGAGGTTGAGAATATAAGTCCAAATGGGTACACAGGAAGCAATCATTTTTTCATGAAGAATACGTCCTTTACTGTGCACACAAATTCTTCCTTCAGAAGGCTGTAAATTACAGTATTTATGGAATCTTAATGATCTAAACACAGTTGGAGCCTGAAGGTCAAGGCTGCAAACTGCATCCTAAATTTCTGTTTACAGATGAAGCACAGTATTTATTGCTGTACTGCTTGTGCTGCTATAGTTAAAGGGCTGCCAGCATTTCCATTATAAACCACTATTTCAGGGGTTTATAACTTGCCTATCAATCTTCTGACTGGGATGAAACATGGCATACAAGGTCCTGGCTATGAGACAGATTTTTTTGGTTTGTTTTCTTTACAAAATGACAAAAAGAATAAGCTTAAAGTTTTACAAGCAAAAAAAGAAAAAAAAAAAGTGTATTAGGTTTTTCAAGTATTTCCAGTGTTCTCAGGACACAATGATATCTTCTGAATACAAAACACATTCACATAACTTCATCAACTAACAGAAGGACTTCCAATCCCTAAAAAATGAAAAATAATCTAAACAAGACTTAGATGCTTTTTATTTTTTTAATTAAGCAAATGTACTTCAGATTTTAAGTGGCAGCAAAGGACATCAGCAACCTAACAGTGTCCTTGGTTCTGTTTATCTGTGTAGATTTGCCATTAAAGGTAACAATTACACACCTTGGCACCATGCAAAGGTTGTATTCTCTTTAAATGAACATCTAAACGATGACACACAAGGTGTCCTTTACTGTTGTATATTCCAGATGATGTCAGGTAAATTTATTCAAAGTCAAAGCCAATGTTTCCTCCTAGTCTTTGAAATCTTGTACTGTTAAATCTTGTATCAAATGTAATTAAATTGGAGGGAAGCAAGTACAGCATTTTCACTTCCACAGTGTCTACTTTGCCAGTGTGAAGCTGTACTAAATACTGTGGAAAGCAGGTGAAAAATTTGTGACATTATGTTTGCATATCTAGTAATTACATTTTGGTAAATAACAAACTTAATAATGCAAGCGCTGCAAGAATTGAAATATTAGAAGATGTCAAAAGCCCTCTCCTTATAATCTTAAATTTTGATATAATTTATTTTTACAAATAAAGAAGTGGGCCAGATTCAACAAGGTTGAATCTTGCTGTTGCAATGCAACACATACATATTACATTGTTATTAAACAGGTTTTTGGCTCCTTTGCAACACCATACCAGTCCAGACAAGACAGACAGCACTGCTAAACCTGGAATATTAGACTTTATCTAATCCCATTTTGGCTTATTTCTTTATGCTATAAATCCAATCACAGCAGGAAGGAAGTAAATTAGCCTCTCCCCAGATGTAATTATTATATTTCCTTTATTGCAGCTGTAGGGCTTTTATTTACTGACACTTTTGAGTTCCCCATAACTACCTTGCTTTTTTTCCCCCCCTTTCCTTTTGTTAAAAGATGACTGCATTTGTTTTATACCATTGATAATAACTGGAAGAATCCTTCCTATGGCTGGAGCTTTCTGCTTTCCTTCCCCACCTCCACCACCTGTCTGTTTGATGTCCACTTTTACACATTCACTTGTATGAGACACTGGATAATTTTTCCCATCAACTGAAATCAAAGTACAGTTTTGCGACTCTAGCTGGTTCTGGTGAGAGATAGAGACCTGCAGACTTCTTTCTCAGGAAGTAAAAGATGGGATGACTATGACATCTTAAAACCAACCTGGGTAGTGCAGCTGAATACATATCAGAGATAGTTCCAAGCAGAGACAAGATGTTATGAACAGTAACTGACTCAGGCCTCCTCATTAACTGGAATGTACTGCCTTTAACTCGCTGAAATGCATCCAAGAACGCTGCTATATAATTAAATATGTTAAATAATGCCACAGAGTATCTTGTGTAATTCTGAATCTTCAATGAACTCTACTAAGTTTTAAATAAAATACAGGTGGAGCTTGTCAAGCAGTATTAGACTTCAAAATATTTTCTTCTTCTGAAAGCTTCCTGTACCATCTGACACACATTTCTGCCACGCTGCCTGGGCTGCCATCACACCATACGTCTTGTTAGCAGCAATGTCATGACAGAAGTGCTACACTGCTGCATTCTAATGACCCTTTGCATTGTAGTGAATTAATGTTTTCTGCAGAAAGGACGTGATAGGAAAAAAATAGCTTTAATTTTGGGTACTCACTGATGTTTTCTTTGTAAAGGCAGTTCTGCAAACTAGTGATGAATTCCATTTTACCTCCGCTACAGAACATGTGGAACACCGTGTACCGTACCTGTAGAGTCCTGGAGGAGCTTGCTGAAGCAGGAAGCTTTTCTCCAAGCCTTGTAGCACATCATTGAGCATCCTGACTCTGACAGGAGCTCTCTCCTCGGGGTCGTTGGCCGGGCGCATCTCGTCCGACTGGAACAGCTCCGCCGTGTCCCTCAGACGTGATGCCACTGCCAGCAGCTGAGGGATGCCTGCTTCATCACCTGGGAGCAGGGACAGCAAGACAGTCACCAGTGATTCACAGACCACTTATTACTCTTGCTTCCAAGTCAAAATTAATAGTCCAATTAAAACCTGAGCCTCTTTTTCCCCTGTGAGCAGCACGGAACGGGTCAAGGGAAGCCATAGATCATTCTGTGTAACCTCTGATCTGTTCTTCAAAGATCAATTTGGACTCTGATGCTTTAAGATCTAATAAGCTGTGAGGAATGACTTTTGGGGTACTGCTTAAAATCTAGCATCGGAAAAACAGGCATGCAGGAAGCAAAGGTTATAAATCAAGAACTACAACATTTCCTTCTGAGACTGAATTTATTCGATGCCATTTGATGCTGTTGCTCTTGAGTCTGAAAGCTTGTGCTTGGATTCCATAATGACTGCTCTATAGAATATTTTAATATGCAGAGTTTAATTGAATTTGATTCAACATTTTAGAATCTTAGAGGTTAACAGCAATTGTAGAGGGTTATGTGAAATTGCTCCTCTTAATCACTTAAGTCATGTGCCAATGAGACAAGTTTAATTGATATCCTAACACATATTCTAATCCAGTCAATATTTTCAAAACTTTCTAACATGGAGTGTTAACTATTGCATTGTTAGCAACCTCACTCAGGCAACAAAAGAATAAAAGCCTGCAGCACGTAGGAGTACACCACAATTTCAGTATTTCCCTGTTCATAGTCCAGAAAGAGAAATGTGAATTGGAGCACTGTGAATGCACAGCCTCCTCCCACCTGCAGTGCAGGTGAGGAGTGTGGCTCCTTTCCCAGTGTGTGCCTGGACTGCCTTCATCTTTACAAGCACATGGAGAGAGAAATCAGAGCCTGAACCTGAAAGTCAAAAGCCGTATCAGTCAGCACAAACATTTCCAGGACGCAGAAATTATCTTTAAGGCAAAGATTCACTTCACCTATTGACAAGAAATCCAACTATGCTTAGATCTTTCAAATAATGCCTTAATCAACATAAACATGCAGCTCTAGGAGCTGTTTCACCTCTACCTGAATGTGCAAACCTCAGGGAGTTCTGTACCTTAGTGACTGAGATAATTAAGCCAATAAAGTGGTTCAGGACTCAAGTTCAATGAATTTTCAACTTCCTTGTCTAAGATACACATGGAAAAATCACAAATAGTAATTGGGGAACACTGACATGGTTTAACCTCAGCTGGCAAGTAAGTACCATGCAGCTGCTCACTCACACCCACTGGCTTCCCTGATGGAATGGGGAGAAGAATCAAAAAGTTAAAACCAACAGGCTGAAATTAGAACAGTTTAATAATTGATATATAATGATGATGATCATAATAACAATAGTAATAATATAGCATCAAAAAGGGAGAAAACCAAAAGAGAGACATAAAATCCCAGACAGACAAGTGATGAGGAATTTTATTGGGCTGACCATGTTCAGCCTGGCCCCAGCAGCAATCAGCCTCCTTGACCACCTCAGCTTAAACTGAGCCTGATGTTCATAGAAATACCCTTTTGGCTAGTTCAGATCAGCTGTCCTGGCCATGTTCCCTCCCATCTTCCTGCAACTCCTCTCTGGCAAACATGAGAAACTGGAAAGTCCTCAGGGTAAGCACTACTGAACAACAACTGAAACATCAGTGAGTTACCAACCTTCATCTTATCCTAAATCCACAACACAGTACCAGCTAGGAAGAAAATTAACTCTACTCTAGTTAAAATCAGGAAAAACACAGCCCATTTCTCAAATTATTCATGGTTGGAGTTTGAAAGGCAGCACATAATAGGGATTGAAAAGCAAACAGGTATCACTAAGAAATCCAAGGAAATGCCTGAATATAACATATTCTCCCTCACATATGGAAAAAAGAGACTTGCTATTGGATACATTCCAGCAAAGGAAAAGGAGTTCAGATCCCAAATCCTCCTGTCATTCAGCTGACTAGCACATTCCAATCTAGCAAAACATTAAATGATCCGGAATACATGGAGAGACAAGATGCTGGTGTGAGAGAAACTGTCAGATTTCCTGAGATATCAAGATGAATTTCAACAATGAACAGAAGCTCCCTGGGGGAATGGGAGTGAGAGAAGATGGTTTTTGCCTGCCCTGGTTTGGGACAAGGTTCCTTTGCTAATGACACTTGACCAATCCACCTTTCCCTAAGTGGAATGGATAACAGGCATGCTGGTATCTTGATATAAAGGGTTGGTAACTCCCTGAGTCTGAAGTAATTGAAATTCTGATCTAGTTAGGTTGATGCCTCATAAAAACATTCCTCAAGCTTGCTACATTTAAGATATTTGCAAAATATCATTATCCTCAATTTTCAAATGTTTGGCAAACATCCTGTGCAGCTGAAGAACTTCCTATTCCCACTACATTATGCAGGCACCACTCACACCTTACCCTGGGACTTGTGTCCATAAGGAAATGTTTAAACTCACCCTGCTAGAAAGAAGCCTTTGGTTTCAACAAAGCACTTTGTATTCCAAGTAACATAAAACTTATATAATTTTTATTCTGAATCTTACATAAACAATTGCAAATGTCAGCTTTGCCTTTTCAGTAGGGAAAGTGACATAAAGGGAAAATCTATCTTTCTGTATTTAGAAATGAAGCCAACCAGATCACCCTTTTAAACACGAAAGTCCCGTAAATGCTCTCAGTCGTTCTTCACAGTCCTTAAACCAACTCTTTTTTTTTACACTCTAAACCAGCACTTGTTAGAAAACACACACCCAGGCCCTTTTTTAATGCTTCAGTACAAAACCTGCAAGTATGGGCAGTGTTACCTCAGCCAGCTAAGGACAGAACAGGCACCACCACACACTGAACTGAACCACCAAGGGAAACTGATTTATGCTTTTCTCAGGTTGACAAGATGGGAATGGAAGGGCAAATGATTGTCCAAGAAAACCCTTCACTAACTAATAATGTCTTAAGCACCTTGTGATGCCTTCACAGAGAAAATCAAGCACAAGTGTTACCTCGTTTAAGAGAAAACAATGCCACATTATTTTATTTTGTATTCTTTGTCCTTTTGTCTCCAATGTGAATCATGATGAATCATCCAAGCTAGTTGTTTAGTTGCTACAAAAATAAAATTGCAAACACAGTAAAGTGACTCAAGAGCATGTGCACTCTTGATCAGGGAATTACACTGTTGAATTTCATTGCATTTGCTAAATGCAACTGGATCCTATTCAGAAACAAGTAACACCAAACATATTTTTACAGACAGTGAATACAATAACCTTTCCCTCTGTAACTGATTGCTCTTATGAAAAGCACAGCTAGAGGTTGAACAGTTTTAAATTCTGTTTGTGTCCTCTGTTATGAAAGTACTTGCCTATGAGTAGTTACAGGAAAGGGAGCACAGACAAATCAGCATTTTCAGGCATGATGCTTGTTTACCATATATGTGAACATGTGTTTGCATGCAAGAGAGAAGGGAAACTGCTTCAGGTTTTGATTAGCTTGCAAATTCTGAATCAGCTGTGATGTACTGCTGTATTCACGAGGAAAATTTTTCATGCTCTGCAGAATAGGATAAGCTGACCTGGCAGTAGAAAATCCGAATGGGAAAGCTTTGTAGGAAGCACCCTAAAGGGGCAGAAACACAAATCCACAGACATCCACAGTGCAAAGGATATGTTGTTATCAGCTTCAATTTTGCTACCATGACTGCTATAGCCCAAGTAAACTCATCTGGTGTTGCTCCAAGCCTTTTTTCAAAGAAGTTATGTTAAAGAGTAATGCTGTGACATTTTACTGTGTGCATGTCAATACAGGAGCCTGGAGAAAAACAGGCTCCAGGGAGACTTCCTTGTGCTCTTTTAATACTGAAAGGGGGATTTATAAGAAACTTTGGGGCAAACTTCTGAAATAGGACAAGGGGTAAGGGTTTTAAACCAAAAGATTAGATTTAGACTAGGTGTAAGGAAGAGATTTTTTACAATGAAGATGGTGAAACACTGGGTTGCCCAGGGAGGTGGTGGATGCCCCATCCTAGAAATATTCAGTGCCAGGTTGGATGAGGTTCTGGCATCTTGATCTACTGGAAGATCTCCCTGCTCACTGCTTTGGACTAGGTGACCTATAAAAGGTCTCTTCCAACCCAAACTATTCTATGATTCTATGAAGTTACCAGTGACTTTGTACAAAGCTGCTGAAACTTGAGGCCTTCTAATACAGAATAGATGCTCATCCTTGCCCTTCAGAACTAAATGTTTGTCCATTGAAAATGCCTTTTTCCATGACTGTCTTTTTAAAGGCTGAAGAAAGGTACTAATACATAATAACCTTGAATGGATACTGAAGACAAGATGCCAGTGTCTCATAAAAAAAGAGATATTTCTGTCTTATATACAGATTTGTTGCATTTTTCACCTCTGCTGCAGTCAAGAATAAAGGGTAGGAACAGCAAAGAGTGAAATTTTCTGAACATTACAGACAGGAGGAGAGAGTAATTCTGAAAAGCACCCAAAATGATCAGGGAAATACAGTCAAGCAGGTAAAATGATGCCAAACTGAAGAGCAGCAGATAGCTGTAGGCAATGAGCATGCAGCCATCAAGTAAATGAGAGAGATAGGTTTCTCTATTGATTTTCTAAGGACAGAGAGTTTAGCCTGATGTTTTGAAATGTATGGGTAGAGACAGGGCGGTGGAAAGTCACGCAGTCTTCCCTGGGAATGACTTATTGTAAACCAGATTATTTTAAACTTCTGCTAGTGCTGCCTACTATTATCACCCCAAGTACTTCAGCTGCAGTAACATCTGTAAAACATCCATTCTGGGCAGAAGAAAGGGCCTAACTGATAAGAAGCCACACACAGCTGATACTGCATCAGCCAAAGAGCTTTAAATCACAGCTCTTGCACTTCTGGAAAACCAGAAAATCTCATCCAGCCTCAATTTGTCTTCCTAAGACTCTCCCTCTCAGTGGCTATCAGAGATGGCTACAATTTGCTCCAGCAGCCTCTGCTGACAGCCACAAGTGGGGATCTCACCACTCCTGCCTGGTTCTGCACAGGCACAATTCATGGCTGGGCACAGACACCAATTTTGAAAGGTTTGCACGAGTCCAAGTGAGTGGCAATAATAAATGACATCAGCTTCAACAGCACCCAAGTGAGGGACAGCACCAGCCTGGCTGACTTTAGTTTTGTAAACTGGGTGGCTGAACTTGCTATTGCTGGGACAGTCAGGTGCAAAGGTACAGGAATGATTTTAATCCTAATGAAGTGCTGGGGAATCTCCATCATCAACCCCTGAAACTTGCTGTAACATGCATCAGATTTTAAAGACAGGCTACAAGGAGCACAGTGCTAAGAGCTTGCAGCAGAAAACAAAATATGTTCTGGATATAAATGCTTGTACACATACAAAACACTACTATACAAATGATTGTACATTTTTACTTGCATATACATACAAAACACTTCCATAGGAATGCTTAAAAGCACTGTTTGTATCACTCACACACCAGGTTTGACATCTTGTCTGCACCTTACCTCAAAAGATTAACTGGATTTTCAGAGCATACAAGGCTCAGCAAGATACTAATGTATTTGATTCAAGTTAAAATGGGTCTTGACTTTAAATGTATGGAAGCAAATCCCACACAGCTGCAAGGTGCAGCTAATGAGAATATTCTAAGCAGTCACTATTTATGAATTTGTTTAAAATATCACATCTATGAACAGACAGCCAACAGCCTCACTAGCCTTGGAGACCTGGATTTCAGTGTTGGAACCTCCATCTTCCATCATTTATGACCACAAAGTTTCCTGTTAAACATCAGCATCATCATCAGCAACATCAGACCATCAGCAGAGGCAGAACAATAAATCTCTCCAGCCCCAACCCTTTCTTTCAGATAAACCCAAAAGCAGTGGTTTGCTTCCAAGAGTTCTGGTGTGTGCAAGGGGAGAGAATACATGTCACTTAACAGCCTCTTCCCCATCTTCCTGAAGAACAGGCCATGAGCCATATGAACATGTTGGGCATGACAGAACTTGCCACCCACACGATCCTGGATGTAAGAAATGGTCTGTGAGGTGCTGAATAACATCCCATGGAATTTAGCAGAGCTAATTGCACAGACACCCACCACATTACAGAGTTAATTTCTTTAGAAATGCAAATAAATGCTGTATTAACAAGTATCAAGGTATACACAACCTTTTGTGAGTACATCCAGGAGACTGCAAAACAGTGACTCAAATATTTACACAAAATTTAACTTCAAGCATGTGAGAAAGTCCAATGGGTAATAAAATCTGTGTTCAAGGAATTGGCTGAACCAGATCCCAGAGGCACAACATTAAGCCTAATGAACAAATATTTTACATGTCATGCACCTTCATCTTTTCTACATTTACAGTCTGCATTGAGTGGGAGAAGGAAACAGTTTACTAAGACATTCCAACTTTGAACTGCAAAGTTTGTTCAACATAAAATCTTTTGAAGAATGAATAAACCCATGAGCCACATAAAAAAAAGTACAATTTCTCATTTAAGTAACTGAAAAAGGACCATTGTCTTAATGTTTTCCAAAATGAATATAAACTGTTCTTTTATAGAAGTCAGAGACAGACAAGACATGAAAGCCATGAGAAAAATCATTAAGCAAAACTCCAAAGTGAACAGCTGGGAGAAAATTTATCCTGCTGGCCCTACAGCCTAGGAAATAATTTTCTCTGCCCTGAAGTGGTAGAGATAAATGATCTAACTGAAGTTAGAGGAGAAAAAAGTCAGTTTAAATCAACGTTTCCTGTTACTCAAAATAAGGAAAAAGGAACAACAATAGAAGATATCTCATGTTCAGTTGAAGGAATACCAGCTGAGCCACACTTCATTTGATGATCACCCCCTGCTGTGTTTAGGCTGAACTAAACCAATGTTTATGTGGCACAACAGAGCTAAAATTACTTGTCTTTTTAGCTGCTCACTGGTTCCAGACCAATACTTGCCTACTGACTCCTACATCTTCACAATGATGGATGGCAAAGATTAAAGAAAAGGTATTGTACTTCTATGAGTATGTGTTATAGAAAAGTGGTGCTTTATAGTGTAGGGAGTGAATGAAATGCAGGGTTAGTACCTGAAGATTGCAAAAAGTCTTTACATTTGAGATGTGATCTTGCAATCTGCTGAAGGATGTGTGAAATTTGGGTGTGATTTTATAGAAATTATTTCTCTATTTAACAGATCAACTCAAGAATTTCATAAACCTATAAACAGAAATATTTTTCAAAGGTCTTAGAACGCTACAGGTAACCTGTACTGCTTAACTGACACAGTGACATCAGAAGAAATCTGAAAACTTTGTTTTATTCAGCATTATATAATGGCCCTATTTAACTAGCAAAATCACTGGCTATTATCCAAGTATTGAAAATATGTATCAGGGATTAGATGATGGTTTTTCCCCCCCCCCCGTAATAATGGAGAACAATATTCCTCTAATGAAAATTACCTTTCAGACTGTTCTGAACTTCTAACGCGATGTCGAGGGCATTAAACGGCAAAACTGGATCAGTGGCAATTTGCAAAGTCACTTGTCCTGTTAGCTGAAAAATACAAAAAGACCCAAAACCCAGTCAAATTATTTCCAGCAGATTTAATAGCCAGCACTTCTTCTGGAATAGCATATTTTTTCATTACATTGGATTTTCACGGAAATAAGCACATATTTATGAAAAGGAATATGAGCAGGACCATTGTCTTTCTATACAACATTACAAAATGTTCAGAGAATACAATTTATGAGCACACACAACAATTCTGTGCAGTGTGTCTTCTCTGGGCCTAGAATGCTGCAGGATTCTCTGGAGGATCTTTTTCCTTTGTTTTCAAATGAAATATCTCAATACTCTAAACACGGGAATGAAGTTTTACTTAGTTCCCTGGTCTTAGCTATTGGATTTTGAGAGTTTTCACAACTAAAAGAAAGAATCACAGACATTAATGATCAGAAGATCAAGCCTAGGGCTAAATGCCAGCTGACCTGAAAACCTACTGCCTTTGGAAGTGTTATGTGACATCTTGATGCACGATGTACAACTTCCAGGCTGGATAGAACACTGCTTTCTCTCAGGAACTCAGGGAAAGAAATTCCCCAAAGAGAGCTCTCAGTCCACTCCAGAGTAGATGTCAGCACCTGCCACAAAAACTCAATGGCATGAATGCTTCTTTTTGAAGAGTTCACAGATAAGGCAGGGGCTGAGAGGCCTGAGAGCTTTTTTCTGCTTACAGAAGGTCAGTTCCCCAGCTCGAGGCTTAGACATGCTACAGGGGCTGTGTATAGAAATACATCTTTCTGCTGAACTACACCTAGCTGTGATTAAACAGAGGATTTCAGTCTCCAGGCTGCCAAGTCCATCACTGTTCATGGGAGCTATAAAAACACACTGACAAAAACATGCAAGAAACTTTCATTCATCTTCTTCATATATTGATATTGCAAAAAAGGAAAAAAATACCTCTAAGGCTGTGCTCTAAAATGGAATGATGGCTGCAGGTGATGGTGACCGTGTTGATAAAAATGTGGACTGAATAGAATAATATTGTACAATTCTTCCCAAGGTGTTGGGGGAGCAAGAATAATATCTACCCTCCAAAAGCAATATGATAGTTTCTGTGCCAAAAGTAGCATTTTAATTTTGCAGTAGAAAGTAGCGAGAAAAGACAACAAGCCTCAGTAATATTAAAAACAACAGTACAGCAATTGAAAGGGAAAACCATCTCCCAGGAAAGTGGATGAAAGCAGGGTAATATCAGAAATACAAGTTTCCTGGAGAAAGATTAATAGAACCTCACAACATTTCTGAGAAAGCACAGAAGAAATGACCTGGCCACAGAGTGGTTTGGGTTGAGGGAATATGGTGAGTATCAGACTGCAACCCACATCTGAGCACAGACGTGCTGTGAAGCTATGGAGATTTACCTCCAGAGAAAACAATATCACAGAAGGCACAAAAAATATATATATAGAGAGAAAATATAGGGAGGAATAATGTTATGTCAGGCCATTATTAGGAAAAACAAAGAACTAAGAGTGAACTTAAAAAATACTATATCTGGACAGATGTATTAAAGCATTACACAGTAACTTCTTATGAAGAAACTTCCCAATTCCTCAGGCCATCAATGCTCAAAAGCCATTACATTATCTACTAGTAATTATACAGAAAGTTTGTCTGGAAAGCACTAAAAAACACTGGTCTCAGAGATATCGGAGAGGTATTATGGAAAGACAAAAAATGAAACTGTTAGGGCAAACTAAACCCTGTAAAAGACTGCACCTAAAGCAGGTCCATATAATCCAGCCAGAGGCAACTATAAAAAATCTGACTCTAAGTATCCAAATGACACACAAAATCCTTCCATGTCCTGCATGGAACTCTTGCAAGATACACTGCTCAGAGCATGAGCACCCTGTGAGTTGCTACACATAAGCAACTGTGACACTGAAATAACATAAATAAAATAAAAAACAGGTACTCTATATGGACCCCACACCCACTGAACCCCAGGACAGCACTACAGAACATTTAAATTCTTCCTTGACAGCCCATTTCTGCTACAACTTTCACTAAATAGTAATACAAATACATATCTACAGGTGTTTTAGGAAGTGACATCAGCAGTTATAATGTTGCTGATGCTTTACAATCTGCTACAATTTTTAAGAACACAAAAGCAAGGGAAAAATGCTTCTTTTGTGAAGCAGGAAAGTGGCATTTAAAGAGGACAATACCCTAGTAAGCAATTTTCCTTCATATCATTATCTCCTGCAGAATCTGGCTTAATTTTAATGAATTCTTGCCTTATTTCTGTTTCTTCCAAGGACTTTTAGTTTGCTTTCAACTATAGCAGACCAAATCTGTTTTCTTTTTCCTACTTAAATAAAGTTATATCATCCAAATCTTACGACTGACTGAAGCACTTTCAGAAATTTTACAGTCTCTGTCTACCACTGCAGACATCTGTGTGTTAGCAAACAGGTAGCAGTGGTGTTTATTAAATCACGTACTTCGTGGGCTAATCTGGAAGAAATCAATCATGTAAAGGAAAGCTCAGAGCATTGATTTGAACAGAGTAAGTAATAATCCTGCAGGAGCATATATCAAACCCACATAGAGCAGCAAGACAGAAAAGGCTACTGATTTCTTATTTATAGTCTTATTTTTGGATATACCATTCCCCCGAGCGTAGCACTGAATATACATGGAAAATAAAGACAAGCTTTGGCCCCCTTTTCCCAGGTGAAAAATGCATCAGACTGACTACTGAATTATTAAATGCAAGAATAATTTAGCTAAGAGTAAAGACAACAATTTTCTCATGAAGTGAAAAGCAAAAGCAGCATGATTGATTCTATTCCCATACTGAAGTGGTTAAAACACTAATGACAACTTCTCCAACAGCATTTATACATAATACACATACAATACACAATAATTGATGTAACATTTTCACAATTATCAAGTCTAAGAAAAGATCTTAAGAGTTCAAATGCTAATTCATCCCATAATGATTTTCTTATTTTAAAAAGAAAAAACAATGACTAACAATGCACTCGGCTGTGGGAAAGGTGTTTTTTGATAAACAAAAATTTATTTGATAAAGTTCCAATTACTTTAAAAATAAGTCTTAATATAAAATGTAACAATAATTGTAGAGTTGTACATGTTTGTTGTCTATGAGGATGGTGAGGCCCTGGCACAGGTTGCCCAAAGAAGCTGCTCCATCCCTGGAAGTGTCCAAGGCCAGGCTGGATTAGGCCTGGAGCAGCCTGGGACAGTGGAAGGTGTCCCTGCCCATGGCAAAGCTCAAAGATGAGTTTTAAGGTCCCTTCCAACCAAACTATTCTGTGATTCTATGCATACTGCGAAACAAATCTGAATATTTAAAATAGGTTTATACCAAAGTAACATTATTTCAAGGTCTTTTACCTAAAGGCATAAACATCTTTGTAGGAAGGAAATAACTGCTATCCCTGCTTTTACTTCTCTGACACTGTGTAGATCCCAAAAGATAAAAGGAAAAATCACAAACTTTAAAAAAAAAAAAAAAAAGCTGGTATTAAAGATGATTCAGTATCATGTGACATTTCCAAATGATGTTGTAGGTTCTTTTCTCCTCCAGAGTTTTACAAACTATTCCTTCAGGAACTATGTATTCTTGCAATTCTACCTATCTATGAACCTAATTTGACTATAAAATCCAATTTTCAGGAACATCAGATGGATCCACAGCACTTTCTAAAAGACTGTGACATAAAAAAAATACCTGGATTAAATGCACACAATATGTTCCTCTATATAAATTATAAATATACATTACCAGTTTAGCTGTTTTACAATGCAAATAAGGAAATGAAATAAAGTGGAGTTTGGGGGGATTCATCACAGGTTGGGGTTTTTTTGTGTGTCACAGCTGTTTTCTCAGGGAGTTAAAACTCAGTGTTCAAGACAACATTCTTCCTCAAACATCCAAGCTGCCTACTAGCAACATAAAGCATGTCTGCTGGCACGCAAATTTAATTTTTTAAAAAATATGAATACTTTAAGCCCAGGCTAGATAAATGTGAAAGGCTCCACAGAGTCTCTGTTACACAGATTCAGTTTTGCTTTGGGGCCGTGCTGTTCCTGAGCCCGCCTTGCAGGGACATGCCTCGAGTGCTGTCTGCTTTTCCTGACAAGGCAGGCACAGCCACCCATCCTCCATTCTGCCACAGCAGCAGAAACTTGCAAGATGAATAAAATTAAAGCATATTTAGTGGATATGAAGATATGAAAATATTATGCATGAGAGAGATCAATCTGCTAGAATAAACACCAGCATGCAGCGTGCAGTAATTTCTTTGACTCAGAAGTTTACACACCAATATTGGGGTTTTTTGGGTGTTTTTTTTTTTTGGTGGAATTTGAAACTGTGTCATATCCAGCCTGTGCTATGCAAACCCCAGTGGGTGGAAGTGCTGAGCCTTTAGGACATTTTTAGTTACATTAGGAGTGTTAAAATCCAAACAGACATCTCAGATCTCTTCATATGCCAAGTTACAAACAACATAACTTAAAAAATCAGGTAAACTGCCATGTTTATCCTTCTGTAAACAATGTCTTCAGCAGGGCTGTACTCCAGTTTTACCTGCTGGAAAGAATGAGGCTCTGCTACTTGAAACCTGAGTTGTGCAGCAACAACTCCTCTTCATTTCAAGCCCTTTGCCTTTGCAACATACTTTTTAAATTTTATTCCATGCATGTTAACAACACTTTAATGACATCTGCGCACTTCCAGAGGAAACCAGCACACATGTGGCAGCTTATACACCCAAACCATGACAAACCATGTGAGAGGAGAGGTTATGTGACATGGTAGTGTGGTAGACCTGTGCAGAATCTCAGCTACAGACTCAACATCCCCCCATCCCTAAGAGACCCAAACAATCCTTGGGACTGAGCAGCTCTGAGCCTCAACCTCCTTGGATATCAGCACTATTTTTTTCAAGTCACATTTGCCCTCACACCTGGCACCTCTCCCTTCACACATTACCCCTGGGGGT